ATTAACTTTCAGCTTGTTGATCTCACGTTCATTCAGATTGTCATTTCAATTCGCCACCACCATAGTCAGTCCAATAACTTGCCATTAACACACACGGTTTCTGCTAGTGTTGAGTTTTTCTGTATTTGTTCCTTCTTCCCACTAGCAATAGACTTTTGGTCCGTTCTAGAAAGTTGCGTTAAGCGATTTTCCACATGAAACATGCTCACCAGTGGGTTCCGATCGATGAAGCTTCCTCGCGTTTGCAGGAAACCTGATTGTTGCTGCTAATCTATTTCACAGGATGAGGTATCTGCTGATAAAGGATTTAGGACGAAAATCGTCCTAATCCTTCGTACAGTTGATTTACAACTCATGTTGCGAAGCCCCCGAGTGAACTTAGGCTGCAGTTCCAATGTAAACAGATCCGAGTAATTTTACTAGTGCATCAGATTCTGCAGGAGCGTCAAATTTTGTTTCAGTCCTGCGAGGTGAAAGTACTTTAAATATATATATATATACAGTCGATTCCGGTTAATCGGACCACATCGGGACCAGACCATTTTGGTCCTTTTAAGCGGCTGGTCCGATTAACCGAAGTTACCCGATGTAACAAGATGGGACGTGCTATACATAACTACTATTATGACCTGTATTGGCGGCATATATTTATAGCAAACACACAAAGAAGAACTGCTTTGATAACGAACTTTGTTCACTGAAAAAGAAATTTACAAACAAATTCTTCGTAACGACCTACAAGATATTCAGCATGCGAAGTACAGTTTTATACAAAGGGATTACCGAATTCCATTCAGCGTTTGAAGACCGTATCCAGTGTGGTTTGACGCATTCTTTTAACAGACTGCATTCGCACAAAAGCACCACAAACATGTAACGCAGTAATAGGACTACCTTCATTTCCTTCCTGCATGAAATAGCGGTGCAATGTTTCAATGCATTTCCTTGCATCCTGTTTTGTGACTGGCATCAACACGTTAGGGTTCTCTTCATCACTTCCATGGTCTTCTGTTTCTGTCGTGTGTTTCGCTGCTATTCGAGCAACAATGGCAGCATCGCATTCTTCAATTCCATCATAGAGTTGAAGTTCGTTGTCGATTGACAAAAATTCTTCGTAATTTTCAACATGTTTCAGCTCCACATTCTCGCCGTCATGTTCATTTACAACCACCATATCCACATCCATCTCCGAGACAATATCCTTAAAGCCACAGTGAGAAAAACAGTTCCGAATTGTCGCACTGCTCATTTTTCGCCAACTTTCGGCCACGAATGTAATGGCTTGCAAAATGTTGACCTTTGCACTGATTTCTCCGGCCGTCGAGGATGAGGTCAGCAAGCCTTCCTCAATTGATTCAAGGATGTAATTCACCAACCTTGAACGATAAAAGGTCTTCAAATTTTTTTATGATGCCCATGTCCATTGGCTGTATCAAAGATGTGGTCTTGGGAGGCAGAAATTCCATCTGGATATTCTTCAAGAAATCCAAATTTGAATGTGCTGCACAATTGTCTAGAAGTAAAAAGACTTTTCTCGACTGGCGTTGTAGCTCTGTGTCCCAATCCTTCACGCATTCTTTAAAAAGTGTAGAGCTCATCCATGCATTTCTGTTCGCACGATACACAACTGGTAAACTGTCCATTCTGAGTCCCTTAAAGCAGCGAGGCTTGGCACATTTTCCTATAACCAGCAGCTTCCTCTTGTCTGTTCCGGACATGTTTGAGCAGCACAAGACAGTTACGCGATCCATTGTTTTTTTTCAGCCAGAGAGAGTAACATGTTTGTAAATTAAGGAGCCGTCCGGCGTAGCCCTATAGTACAACCCGGTTTCATCAGCATTATAGATGTCATCTGCTGGAAATTTTTCAAGAAGCTCTGGTAGTTTTGTTGATTTCCATTCTTCAGCTCGAGCGCTATTGGCACTTTCTTTCTCACCATGTGCTTTCTTAAATTTTACATCATGTCTAGATTTCCATCGAGACAACCAGCCGTCCGTAGCTATAAAATCTTCGTGGCCCAGCATTTTAGCGAGTTCTTCTGCTTTGTACTTTAACATCGGGCCACTTACTCGCACGGCTCGTCCAGTAACAAAGGCAAACCAATCATTAAGGGCCTCATCGACGTCTGGATCCTTGCCCTCACGCTTCCGTTTTTGGGAAGTACCTCGTCGTCCTTCACATTGTGCCCATTCTTCTCGCAGATCTTTCTCTTGTTTTATCAGGCGCGATATGGTAGATTTTGCCAAGCAGGTAATTTCCACCAATCGACGCTGACTAGTGGTTGGTCCCTGTTCCTTGATCTGATCTAGGAAACGAATTTTCTCAGCTAACGTCAAGTCCCGTCGTGGCATTTTTTAACATGCAACAAGACACGCACAGTTCACTGAGGTGAACTCGGGTCTGTCTCCCGGGTATTTCTATGGTTGACCTAGCCACCTGCTGTCCTATGATTTGCCGGACCTGTGTGTCCGCCATCACTTGCCGTGCTCGAGAGTAGGCCCGCAATGCGGGCTCAGGGCATTCGGCTCAATGGCCGAGCGGTACATCGATCGAGCGGTTAACGACATGTGAACAAGCATGTATGTCTTCGCTCCGCCTACAAGTGTTGGAAACTACAGTCAGTTTCGGGCGGTTCTGAAGCCAATTAGATAAATGTGCCTCAAGGTTGCCACAGTTCAGTTTATCCAAAGGCCAACTCGGATTGCCGTAACTGAATGGTACGCTTTCTTGCCCGACATATGAGCTGTGGGTTTAGTCCAGACATCCAGGCACAGAACTTGATTTTAACACTTCTGTTACCTGCCACCTTCTATCGTCTGGTCCGATTAAGCGGAATTCTGGTCCTAATAAGCGGCTAAAATTAGGTTAGCGTAATAGGATTCGTTTCGGTTCTTCAGAATTTGGCCCGAATAAGCGGCTGGTCCTATTAACCGGTGGTCCGATTAACCGGAATCGACTATATATATATATATATATATATATATATATATATATATATATATATATATATTCAATACTTGACCACTGTACCATTCTCATGGGTAACAACAAAAGGGAATAGAGGCTATCTGGGGAAGAAGTCCGAAGATTCATTTGTTGTGTGGGCAGATAGCTTTCCGGTTGCCCAGGCCGAGGGAGAGGGTTGACTTAAGGGACACCACCCGGATCCTTTGGTCTTTAAGACATGACACGCAAAGCAGCGGAGCAATTAATGCGCATCGCTGGAACGTCGAACCAGCCGTGAATATGAAGACCGTTGGCAGCCATGTGGCTCATTCGCCTTAGTGTTCGGTAGCAGTCAGCACAGAAGCCGGTGGCCAGCAAAGTTGTTCATCCGCCCTCCGTTAGGTACTCACTACTGGTCACAGAAGTGCATGGTCAGTGACACTATAGCGGGTTGCATTGGCTTTGACACATCGCCATACGAGCTCTTGTGGTATTTGATGGAGAATCAGGTGACCATCCCAGAACTCCCCACAATCTGAGACACTGCCGCTGATTGTCCTCGACTGCTTATTCATCTCACTTGCAAAGCAAGCCGGACTTATTGGCGGTTACAACCACAAGGAAGACGTCCCCCAATTCGAAACCTAGGGACGCGGCCAATAGCGTACCGCTCCGCCATGGGTGATGCTTTACTAAACAGGCTTGTCGTGAAGGGCCTCTGTGGATTTTATAACGCTTTTCTGTTACTCATCCGCATGTTCCCCTAAGTGATGATGCAGCACTCACAGACGGGACGGGTAAAGATTTTAGATCGCCTTCGGCAGTGACTGTATGGGTTTCTTGGTGTATGCTAGAGGTAGACAGCCTATCCCATGCTATTTGTTATTCGAGCCCCTCAGAAAAGTGGAACTCGGAAGAATTTCGTATTTCGAATTCACAAACAGACGGCCTCACACAGGTGTGTTAATGTTAATTGGCGTTTCAGGTCTCGAACACCCGTTATATCCGATACCTGATTTGCTAGCTGAGGATTTCGTTCAACTACGTGTCGAACCGTTTTCAAAGTGATTAGTTATCTTGCATTAGCACCCTTGTTCTTTGCAGTTCATCTCGTCGAAATTTATAAGTAGATTTAGTACCTTAACAAGACAATAAGAAGAATAGTGAAAGGATTCGGATTAAGTTTTGAAGGAGATTTGCGACAACCATACTACTGCATAAAAACGAGTAAATGCCATCGGACGATGGCAGCTCATCAAGATAGATCGTGGCTCAGGGGTCACTTCCATCTTCTGCACATTAGAAACTCATGTAGCAACGGAGAGTGTGGCACTATGTTACACTAAGATACTTATTTATGGCGACTACCGCTCATTCAGCGCAGCCGCAGACTCAAGGACCGCGGGTTCTAGCTCCACCAGGAACAGATAGTGTGTGCACTGCTGACGATTCACAGTCCTCATGTGCAGTCAAAGGTCTCCGTTCTCAAGTTCCTTGAGGCCATTGTTATCGAGCGACAGCGTCCACTAGTGTGTTGAACAGCAACTGACAGTGACACTAAGCCTATTGTGGTAGTAGCGTGGAACGCGCCAATCGGAAAATTATTGGCCACCAGTCGATTCCATGTGATTTTGTTTTGAGTCCTTTGTTAGTTTCACGTGCTTAGCCGAAGAGTATGACAGTGTCATCGTACAACCTTCGTCTTCTGGCATTCCTATTTGGATTTCCGAAAGGATGAAACCGCCGTCCAGTGCTACTTCCATTAGCTTGTGACAGTGGGGAATCCAACTAAAAAGCTTATATTATCGGATGCAGTGCGTAAGTCGTTATCTCGCCGGTGGAATAATTTCCATTAAAAGAAACAGTCCATTATTTGCCACGATTGTCACCTTCGGTATTGTGAGCCTGAGTTTGGTCCAGTTTTTCTTTGAGGCTCATTCACTGTGGCTTGTTTTTCATCATTTCACATGTCCCGTTTGATGAATGTTTTGGTGACATCAATATGCACTTCTGAGCGTCTCCTTTTCCCTGTGGAATTGTCCCCCTCTCTTTAGTTGTGGGAATTGCAGAAACAAAAACATAGCATGCTTTTGGAGGAGAACACGGCAATGGTTGCACAACGTGAGCAAGAAATCAATCAGATTGTGCGATCCATTCACGAATTGAATGAGATATTCCGTGATGTGGCGCAAATGGTTGTGGACCAGGTATGTTTTTTTGGTCGGCTGGTAAATCAATGTTTCCTATCATAACATGTGCCTAGATGTTTGACATTTGATTTGTGTGTATGTGTTTCGTAGTCTCGCCACTTCAGTGTGTTCATCTCTGTGGGTCGACTTTGCTGCTGCTAATCTATTCACATCACTGAAATTCTTTCCGCTGCAACTTGGACACAACTGCGAGGTTATCTAGACCGTTGATTTCCCCAACCAGTTCTCTTTATTTGCAATCGGGCTCTAGTCTTGTTTTCGTGTGCTAGATCCACTGCGCTTTTTCGACATAGATTCCGGCTTCCGCTGTTGATTGTCATCTCATGAAGGCAGTGTCTGTCTCGTAGCCAAAAGGTAACGAGCCTGTCTTGTAATCTGACGGCGCGGGTTCGAGCCTGTGTAGGGGCAGGGCGATCATCGCAGTATATTTAGCTCACGTGCGACCGGTGGTGATTGCGCGGCAGCGAATCGTCGGTACTACGTACCGGCGTACTGCTGATGCCTTTATGGAGGCAGCAGTACCCCCATCGTGAATCAATAGTGTCTTGGGAAAGATAACTCTCAAGCGGTCATCATGACTGATCGTAATGTATGCGCACAAAACGGTCAATTATCTGCCTCGACAAGTATGTGATGTTGGTACCTATGCGCAAACTATCCAATTAGACATTGTTTTAATCGAAATCTCTCACACTGCAACACTGTCCATTAGGTCAGCCATCGCATTATTGCCATGAACACTTCTCTTTCGTAGTTATCTACTAACGTGCTGCATGGGAAACCTTTGTTCGGTGTGGCTTGGTCCTTCCGTTTTGCTTGTAGTGGATGATTGTATTCAGATTTGACATCTCCTTGTCGTTAAGTACTTTTCCGCACATTTGTCCGTGAGCTGCACAACTTACAATTTCTGCCCGATTCCCCTACTCTACTACCACTGCTACTAATGTATGTTTCTCGGATAAAACGAGAGGTAATCATCATGATGAGACCTGATCATTGTATAGAGTTTAGAATGCAGGATGCTTTGATCGAATTCAGCATCTTTGTCACAATGTACGCAATTACAGGACACTTAATCGCTCATAGCAGAGTACTGTAATGTCCACCATGAACCGAATTGTGGAGGTTGAGAATTTTGACCACCAATCCGCCTGTTCATTCCACTCGGTCCGAACAAAAGCGCATGTTCTCGGTATCATCCACAACGGGAGTAGTAACATCAAAATAGCGGGAATAGTTCAAGCGAACAAAATGTTCGTTGTGATGACGTTTTTGACAAATCGGTGAGGATTACGGCTAACTTATGGTGAACTAGCATTAAAAAGTGTGTATCAGGTGAGATGCTTGTTTAGGATGACATCAAGTGTACTACTCCTAACTCGAGGTAAACCTTCATGGAAGTCGACACAGGCTGAAAAAAGACATACAAGTAACCCGTGGAGAAGGTTTGCGTCGCTGTCGCACCAAAAACCTGCACCTTAGAGAGAGTGCGAATGGAATTGATGCGGTAGTGAAGGTAGGAGATAAAAGACTTGTGTAACCGCTGCACTTAGGCCCATATGCCTCAGACATTGGCACTGCAAGCAAACCAAAGTGAAACGATTGGAGGACAGATGATGGCCCCACAAGAGTAAAATGCTTAGACGGGCGGGCGGAATGTGACCCGACGGGTCTGGTCTGCATTGGGCGGTTAGAGGAAGTTTCACGTGTACTACTGTTTTTAAAATGAAAGCGAACTTTTGAACTAACGTGCTAACTGGCAGAGACAGCGCGTTGTGGCTCCTGGGCACACGTAGAAGCATATTTAAACCATCATTTGCTGCGTTTCGCGCTGATCGTTAGTTGGCGACCTACAGCCAGGGAAGTGAGCAGTCGCACGAGCTGCTCGTCGGATCAGTGTCAAAGTAACAAGGTAAGACGTCGAAGAACAACATTTTGCTACAAACTTGAAAAACGTTTACAGAGACGTTTCAGTTGCTTAGCCAAGCCGAGGAGGGACTGTATGAGGAGGACTGTATGTGTCGCACTCAGTGCTATAAGTAGTTTAAGCATTTTGAACCCGGAAGAATGCTGCTCGTTGAGGATATCAAGTCTGAACGACCTTCCACACTAAAAAACGATGATCATATCGACAGAGTTCATGCTGTGTTCCATGGAAAATGTCGTTTAACTGTTCGAGAAGTTGTTGACGAAGTGGGCATTAGTGTGGGATCATGCAGTCAACTTTGGGGTGGCAAAATTGAGATGCATCGTGTTAGTGAAAATATCGTACCGCATTTGTTGACTGACGATAAGAAACAGAAGCGTGTTGAAATCAGTCAGGAATGGCTTGCCACTGCCAATGAAAATCTTCTTAACAACATCATACCAAGCGATGAGACGTAGGTTTGTGGCTATGATATTGAAACGAAGATGCAGTCGTCGCCGTGCGTCTCGTCCGAAAAGGAGACGCACGAGTCGGTCAGGGATCAGTCGTTGGTTGTCTTTTGACTGCAAATACATTGTCCATCAGGAATTTGACCACTTGGTCAGATGGTAAACAAGTAAGTCTGGCGCGTTTGATAGATGCTGTGCGTTAGAAGAGGCCCGAACTTTGGAAAAAGCGAACTTTGATGTTGCATCACGCGTCGCTCCTTGTCCGCAATTATCTAACAACTCATATTGTTCCCTATCCCAAGCAGAGTTTTCTTATTTCCCAAGCTTAAAACCATGCTGAAAACTATCGTTTTTAAATCATAGAGGAGATTTAGGACAATACAACACAAGATCTACCCGTCATCCCAGATAGTGCATTCCAAAATTCTTTCTAGAAATAGAAGCACCATTGAGAACGGCTTGCTGCCAGTGGAGAAGACTACTAGGAAAGTAAAGTAAAGTAAAAAAATACAGCAAAAGTTCGCTTTCTTTTTGAACGCACCTCGTATACAGTCCTCAAGGAGACTTGCATCTGGTAATTTGCATGAGCATATCGGATGATGAGGGACTACTTTAAAGAGTGGATTGTAAAGGTGGTTGTCACTTCACCACCTGCTGTGCTGTCCGTCTGTTATGGCAGATTTTCGTAGCGGGCACTTGTTGCACCGCTTGCTTCATCCGATTTCCTTAGGCGATTCATCGTGTGGTTGCAGTATTCTGGTTGATAAGTTCCCTCCTCTGTTGTTCATGCTAGATTGATGTCTCACAACAACGCCCACCGTTTAACCAAAGGCCAGTGAGGAAAACAAAGACATTTCAAAACCGATTGCACCAGCAATTTTGTCCGTCGTACTGCTGACATATCTGTTTACTCTTCGTCTGATTCTCATTCGTCATGTAGGCTATTTTAATATATCTGTGATTGGTTTATCTCATAAACTTATTTTTCCCTCCCTTGGATCTCAGGGCACGCTAGTTGACCGAATCGATTACAATGTGGAACAGACACAGATTCGGGTGGAGCAAGGCCTGAAGCAATTGACCAAGGCACAGAAACATCAATCGAAAGACCGTAAAATGCTGGTCATTCTGGTGTTGGCTTCGTTGGTTCTCGTGTTCGGAGTCTGCCTTATCTTGACTAAACTGAGCTAGCATTGTATTTAGCACCGTCTGTGATCGTCCCATCGATGTTGTCCTATGTCTTTCAGATGCCCTGTATTTTCTCCGGCTGGCTTATTCTTTTCTGTCTTCAGTCCTTCGATTTTCGCCGTAATGATGTTGAGTTTTCCATTGTTCCATTCCGGTGCTACCACGGATGCCACCTTAAAACTTGTGGTTTGTTCACCTCGAAAGTTGTAAATATCGAAAATCTGTCCTTTCGAGCCTACACGTTGTTTTGATTTCCTGAGCAATCCACTGGGGTGGAAGTAGATCTTGTTAGAAATACGAGCTTTATGGACACACAAAGGAGTTCGTATTTGACAGTGTCTGAAAACCCAGACAATGTCTCGGTTACATCTCAAACTTGTACCACTCAGTACTCGCGGAACTGACTTCACTTCGTGCGCGAATTTGGCCCACCCCACGCAGTGGATGAAACAGCACCGATCGATAGGCGAAACCTAGAAAAGAATATAGTTTACTGTGAATAAATTTCAGACACGAGTAATGACACGACCGATAAGTCGGTTGTTTGGAAACCCCCGAATTTGCGGAGTACTTGAGCGGATATGATGGTTGGATATTTTGCGGAGCCAGAGTCCTGTCGAAGGTCGCGACAGATGCTGTGGCATTAGAGTCACTGAAACTCAACTAGTATCATGAACGTGTAAGAGAAATGTTATTAGGGTCCTCACCACCTTACGTATCCTTTCAAAAAGTCACGTAACGAATTTCCAGATCGCGGATTTTTACACAAATCTGATTGACCCAGCGATGTTTCGCTCTCACTAGGCAGCTTGGAGTTGTGCGTTAGCGTGCGTCGCTTTTGTCACGAAGGATGATTTGGTATTAATTTCTTATCGAGCGGAATAGCAACGGTCTTGCTACACTTTAAGGTTAAACTGCCGAACTGATTCTCAAACTCGATAGTCTAACGCAACACAGATGATATATAAATACATATCGACAATACACCTTTCTGATCTAGCGTACCTCTTCAACCCATTGAACTAAACTGGGTAGTGCCCTTCGTATCTCGAGAGCTGCTTCTACAAAACCGGCCAAGTGTAAAACATCAGACGAACCGGTGGCACCCGCTGTTTTGCGCCAAAGGCCTCGCTTGGTGATCCGAATCTTTCTTTTGCTTAAGTTTTGGCTCATCGCTGGAGCCCAGTGCACACACAACAGCATATTACGACGTCGTTTGCATAGCTGTGGAATAGGGTGCATCCGCTGCCATGATGTGGTTGACCTGCTGCACCATCAGTCGTCATTGCAGCAGAAAAGTCGATGTGCCTGTTGGAATTCAGGAAAATCCTTGTTAGCACTGACCCCAATGTGACCATATAGAGTAAAACGTGCGAATTAAAGCAGACTGCGCGCTGACAAAGTAATTTTATGGACCCTAAGCCTTCAGGAAATGTAATAGGTCGGAGTGGTGTGCAAATGCCGCACTCATTTATTCAGGAACACATGCCAAACCAGGGATATAATCGATTCACACTCGTACTAAATAACACCAACCGGCACTTTGAGCCGAACACTTTTAGGAACAGTTCCGCTGACTACATGCTTCTAAAACGCTTTACATCTAGGTGCTTCAAACTCGTTAATTTAGTGTCGCGCTAAAGGGCTGAGATTCGAAACACGGTCACAGCCCTTGTTGCTGATACGGATTCTCCCACGCCCGAGCTACCTAACAGTCGTGAGACCCTCTTCAAATACCGGCCCATATATTCTAACCAGTCTTCGTAGCCACCTGGGGTGGATCGATCATTGTAGCGAGATAAAAGAAAGGCGGTCGCTCGTACTAATCACGCCAACAGTGCTAGTCACTTGTCTCAATTTTCTTACGGAATCCCGGATAAGAGCAGATCAGTTTCCGAAAACGTTTGCGCAGCATATTTACTCTACGAGAGTTACTATAATAGCGTATGGCACTCTGACAATAGTTGTATGCCTTGGTGTTAAGTGTGCGTTCGAGTTGGTCGGTCAGTTCACCCTTAGGAGTGGCGTTCACACCAAGTATGTCAACATTCTTCGTGCCCTCTACTCGAACAATACAGGTCGTATCAGGGCCAACGGCGAATTGTCGACGTCTTCCCGACAACGAGCGGCGCTAGTCAGAACAGTCCTGTTCCTTCATTCTTGTTCAAATTAATCGTGGGGGATCACCAGTACGCCGGTGAGCAGCGCTGCCGCCTAATGACCAACAGTCACCCGTGGGCTGAGAATACTGCCAGGGTCCCCTACGCAGGTTCGAACCCGCGGCTTCTGGATTACAAAGGCCACAGGCACTCCTTCACGAACTGCTCCTAGTAGAATTTCCCGATTCAGGTGAGGTGCGACTTGGCAAAAAGTGAATCTGGATTGTGTTTTTTTGTCAGCGTTAATAAGCACAATCAACCATAGATAAAAACTAAATACATCGCCAGCTATACACCGCGTGGGCTGAGTATACCGCGAGGACGTTCGTCCCTACGCGGATTCGAGCCGGTGACCTTATGATTGCAAGCCAGGCGTGCAGACCACTCAGCCATCGGTCGACTCAACCATAGATGGTATCTCCTAATGGGTCCCATTATTTGGTATGCGCTTCGTACCTTCAAAGGACCACCAAGCACTTGATAACAAGGAACTGGAAATACTTGGTGAATTAACCTATGTTGGTGTCCGCATTAGCAATGATTGTGAATGATAGAAATGAATTGGCGAATCCGCTACAGCTGTACCGCCAGATGAAGATTTTCTCCAATCTGAAAGGCTGCGTATGCAAAGCCACGGTGAGAGTTGTTTCCCCCCACTGAGAATATGAAGCGCCATCATGTCCTAGACCATTGTTGCGGATACGCAACGTTGACTTGGTCATGTGCTGGGTATGCTCGCTCACTGCATACCAGCAAGGGCTTTGTCTTGTTCGTCGGATGTAATAAGATCGAGTGAGGGGAGCAGAAGTTAACTGGGCGGTGTGCAACGATGTCAATGACGAATAGACTGTCTCCTGTTGGTTTGCCTCATCATTCAAGACTGGAAACCACTACACCACATGGCTCGTAACTGGCACTAGTGGCACGTCCTCTTTAAAACGTATCAAATGTTGTGCCATTTGTGGGATGATGGTAACTATGACACGGACAGCAAAAGCGGAGACGAAGTTGCTTAGCTAACGTCAGCTTATTTCCGCAAACCTACCGCATGTTTGTTACCGTTATATGTGTTTCGCACAGCATTACAACGCGGGTCCGAGCCGACAATATGGGCGAGCCTGTGGAGTCATGTGAGAAGCTGATGAGACCCAGCGCTCATCAGCAGGCCTAAGATGGTCCACGAGCAACTGACCAAGTATGTTGCACAGCGACGGTTTGGGGAACGGGAGCTGATGAAACCCGGTGTACACCGAGTGCGAGTAGACGGCCAACTATGGTGCACCATGGCAACAGCCAAACAGAACGCGTTCACAATGAATGTGGAGGACCGCGATGCCTAGACTGGAACGTACGTTTATAGCGGACATATAATACACAATGGACACAGTAAACAGTTTAACTTATGATTTCTCGTGTAACATGGGAAATCTCGGTAGTGCGAGTTAACCATACGCTGCAGCTGATGATTTGGTCCCCGTTTCGAATTCCAAATCGATCAAATTCGGTTGACTTAATTAGGCTTTTGGCTTTGTACCACGCATTAGAATGTTAGGAAACAGACGAGAGAGAAAAATATAATCAGAACAACTGGCCATACACACACTTTTATTCTCAATAAGTCGTAGCCATAGGTTAAGAACCAGTTATGACGACGTTTGACGCTTCGCCCGGCGATCGGCGATCCACGAGCGAATGGAAGCCCTGAGTTCCTCCTGGGGTTCGACTTGTGACATTGCAAGTGGCTGTCGGTTGAAAGGATCCGTTGAGGCACTACGACGGAAATACGGAAAAATGTAGGTTGAACAGTGGGATATGCGTCTGTCTAGTAAAATCAGTCATACAGATCAAACAAAAAATATTAAAACAACAACAAGTGGTAAGTCCTTAGGCCCATCCAGCTAAAGGGAGTATGTGTATGTTCGATCCACAAACTTTGGCTCATACGGAACCCCCGCTAAACTCGATCCGTTTGTAGATTTATCTACACTTTATAAATGAATAAATTTTTATTCTCGGCTACGCGAGGCACGCCAATAAAGGCATGATCACAGTGATAGTACAACAATTGATCAAGAAATGTACACTAGAGTTTCATACAAAAGGCAAGGCTATTTCAATAAAACAAAGAAAAATTAATTAAGAACGGATTTCAGTGGGCGGAGTGATAAACAAGATCAATCCTAAGACTGAGCCATCAGCAGTTCGAGACGACCTGCTCCACGGGTTTTTTCTCATGAGATGAGGCACCCATGTGACGAGAAAGATCAACAGTAACGGGGAGGATAATCGGACGTAGCAAGTGCACACCGATCGACACACACACGACTTCATTTGGCCGTTTCGACAGCCGCTGCGGCGACACGAGACCGTGAATATGACTCGTTACTGATGTACCGAAGGCAAATAAGCGAACATGGAGCTTGCATCATCTATCATGGAGCAAAGGCAGGCACTACTACACCAGTCGTCAGTAGTATAGAAGTGCCAGAAAACCAAAGAGTAAAGGGCGGACATAATAATAATAATAAATAAAATAAATAAATAAATAAAATGTTTATTCTCGACTAAGCGAGGCACGTCTGCACAGACATGATCATGATAAGAGTACAAACTGTGATCAGTCAATGTACAATGGATCAATGAGATTGTCGCATAGATTGATATATAAATGTATGTAAGTCTGTATGTGGGCGTGTTTAGCCGTGTTTATGGAGTTCGTAAATGTATTCCAGTCTTTTTGAACGTGTGGCCAGTGTTAAATGGGTGCTTGATGGCTGTGGACTTGAAGCGGTCGTCCGGATAAGCAATGGGTGACTTTAGTTGGTGGCGAGTCACAACCGCCACGTCACAGTGTTGTTAAGCGGACATTTGTGGCTTTTTATAGGGAGAACGCTTGCCAGGCGGAAACCCACCACGTCCTGGAACACTGCCGCCGAACTATTTGCTGGAAGGGGTAAACCCAATCCACCCAGCTGGCACCACGAGGAGGTTGTTCGGTTTTTCGATTGTGCCAGAAGATGTCCCTGGATTGGGTCCAGATCATAAGTGCAATAATGATCATGCTCATGCATGAGTGGGATATGTATTCTGAGGTGACATCGAAATATTTTGGAATCACATAGCTTTCTTTACTGTTTTGTGTACCATTTTTCCTCATTGGTTATATATTTCTTGGTCCATCCTGGAAGAACTCGTGTAGTGATTTACCCGGTGGAAGCACAGCCATTATCCAGTTCTGGTCCAGGAAATTTCTAAGCCGAATGCTGAAGGTTCTTGCATTTGTGACTGGTAGGCTATTCCACAAGACAGCGTATCTGCCGAGGAAGAAGTAGCATCTAATAGCTGTCCTTGTTCTTGGCATAGTTAGTTTACAATTCTTGTTGCGTAGATTCTAAGTGGTTATGTTGCAATTTTAGTGTGCATAGATTGGGATATGTTTATTGGTTTATGAGATTGTGTATCAGCATCAGGTTAGCTTTCAGTCGGCTGGCTTGCCGAACAACCTCCTACTGGTGCCAGCTAGGTGGTTCGGGATGATCCCGTTCCAGCGAATGCTTTGGCGGCAGTGTTCCAGGACGTGGTGAATTTTCGCCTGGCAAGCGTTCTCCCTATAAAAAGCCACAAATGTCTGTTTAACAACACTGTGACGTGGCGAGTGTGATTCGCCACTAAATAAAGTCACTGCCCCTTGCATCTCTCTGAGTGGCATTGTAATTCAAGAATGTGTTGGGCTCCTGGTCCTTTGCGGTCCTAAAGGCGTATGAACGACTTGTTTGGTCATCGGGTCCAAAAGAGTTGCGATACCCTCACATCACCCTGCTGCCTTGTAGATTAGATCCTGGATTAAAGGCTCGCGGTGGGGCCCCGTAAGAAAACCCTCTACTTCGGCCTGAGCAACCGAGCAGTCTCAACCACCGATGAACCATGGATGGATCATCCCCTTCCCTCCCCCAATAAAAAACAAAAAAACTCAAAAACTGCGAGTGGAAAATGGACAAAAGATTGCTTGTTTTCTTTCTTCATTTAATCTAACCCTGTTTTCCTATTCCGCCATGGTTTCGATGGCATAATATCTGTACACAGATTGTTATATATTCACAGTCTCTCTGGGAAAAATCACAGTTGAGGCGCCAAACTGGTATGGAAGTCACGTAGGTGGTAGCCACGCTCTGGCAAGTTTAAAAACCAGATCGCAGCCAACACGCACCATAAATTCTGATTCAGACAAATCAGTGAATTATTCACGAGTGAAATTTATAATATGAGAGCTGCTAAATTCGGCTACACTGTTTTATTACGGTGTACTGTGGATTGCTTTTCCTATGGAAATTCCTACTATTGACGGAGTCGAGGGGGCAGATGATAATCTATGTTTACCCAATGGAGAGGGTTTTATTAGAGATGCTCTACCTCTTACCATCAAATCAACAGTCTGAACCGCAAAACAGTGGAGTATATGGAGGTTCGCTCAAAGAACATCACCAATAGCCTTCGGCTCAATTACTTGACCCACAAAGCAGTGGGGAGCAACTCGGGAACTTGATTGCACAGACCCGTTGGGATCTGCCTGAAAACAGTCACAAATAGCCTTTCGAATATTTAGAGCAACCTCATGCTGAGGTTGATATTACATTCATGATGCTTCTTCAACGCAGTTTGGGCTAAATCAGCTTACACTTAATCTAAGTCATTTTCATCTGAATAAAAGTCATTCTTCTTTATTTGGTTTGTTCAATTCGGTTACACTGCTGCATATTCTGTGTCAAATTTGCGTGTTTGCTTTCCGTTAAATTCGATTTTGGTTGTTTCATATCCCCCCAGTGTGGCTGTGCTTGATGTGAATGTTGACAAGGTGCCTACCGCTAACACCCTCCACCTCGATTACTGGCTCCAAGAGACTGAGAATCGTTGTTGGGGGGAAGGGGCACACGGTCCACTTAGCCGTGCTAGGCTCAAAGAATGGTTCCATCCAGTGTGGAGCGGACTACGCTCCAGTCATCGTCTTGTATACCTCTGGTACGCATGATCGCCTACATAGATAGACAGGAATGTTGCTGCTGTACATGTTGAAGGAGTGTGCACCGGCTTCGTCGATGTAAGGGGGCTCCCATCCACATGTTTCCCGCTCTTATTCCTTCGGGTTTACACTGGATATGGAGTGTGTAGATGGCAAGCCACCCATGGTCCCTCTGTAGGCGCAGGCGTCCTATGCTTCTCTTCTGGAGGTCCCAGTGACGGGCAAATCCGGAACCAGATGCAGCCAACCATGTCAAGCACCGGGTACGCAAATTGAAAGCGGCCAGATTGGTTTGACGAAAATAGTGCGAAGATTAGCGTTTTGGTGTTGGCGAAGAATGTAGCATTCGCTGCATATTTGGAAGACCCTGTTGCTTGCAAGAATGAGAGTCATTTTGGCAAAATTCTACAGTGATTAACTAGAGCGCCGTCTCATCAAGAATGCATGGTGGACGGAAAAGGCGAAGCAGATAAAATGCTACGCCGAACGCCGACAATATAAAGAATTTGCTGACTCTTTGTAGGCGGTGTACGGACGAAGGTTGGAGCAGCTGAGCACGCTGCTTAATGGTAGTTCAGACGCTACCTTTACACAGACTGCAGACATAATGCAGATCTGGCGAAAGCACTTCGACGGTCTCTTGAACAACCTTTAACAGATTGTCTGGTTTAAGTTGCACGGGCTGTAACGGCAAATGATGAAGATGTATCTTGCAGGCACACCAACAATAGATATGCAGAGAGCATAAGAATAATACTAATAATTATCTTTCCCGATTGTGCAAGAAGCTAGCCCTGGATTTTGGACAGATCATGGGTACAAGAATGCTCATGCTCAGCCATGAGTGAGATAGGGATATTCTGAGATGTGTGATATCAAAATACTTTGGGCGCACATAGCTTTCGTTGTTACTAAGTTTGTGTACCATCTTTTCCTTTAGTTTTTATATTCCTTGATCCATCCTGCAAAACTTGTGTAATGGAAACATGGAAACATGGTCAGTATCGAGTTCGGATCCAGGAATATTTAAGCTGAATGCGGAATGTTCTTGCGTTTGTGCAAGACGTGGTTGTGGCTGGTAGGCTATTCCACACGACAGCGTATCTGACGAGGAAGAAGTTGGATCGGAGAGCTGTCCTGGTTCTTGGCATACATAATGTACAGGTCTTGGTGCGTATATACCGAGTGAAGTTATATTGAATTTTAAGTGTACACCGATTGAAATATGTTATTTGGTTTATGAGATTGTGTATCAGCATCAGGTTACGTTTCAGTCGTCGCAACCAAAGGGGTTCGAGCTTAAGCTGCTGGCAGCGCTCCTGATAACTCACGTTGATTTACTGAACAACGATTTGGTGAATGATCTTTGCAGTTTTCTAAAGCTTTCCTGTCACCCATAAGCATGTTCCCATAAATGATGCTGCAGTATTTAATGACAGGAAGTGTGACTATTTGGAAAAGCCTGATTCTGGCAGCGGTTGTGTGGATTTATGGCATATGTTAGCCATAGATCGTTTGACACATGCTATTTGACACTCAGCTTTCTTCATGAAAAATTATAGTTTGAGAGTATGGTGTGCTCAAATCATAGTTAGGTAGTTTCACACAGATGCGTTCGTTGTTCAATTTAAGTGACCCTTCTGCAATCAAACATCCGCGTGACATAATGTATGATTTACTAGCTGAGAACTTTAAAATCCATGTGTCGCAACCTTTCGTACGTGAATCGATATCTTATTGAACGAGCAACATT